GCGGTGGGGGCGGGGGGAAGGGGTCGGGGTTGCGGGGTCCCAAGCTTGCGGTGAGCTCCTGCGCTGCACACTGAGCAACAGCCATCGCCTTGTTTACGGCAGACCCCGACTGACAGCGGGGTCCTCGCTCCAGGCCGCTGTGCAGTGGGGTCAGGAACCCCGGGGACGGCGGTAGTGTTCCCTCCCGTGGCTCTGGGTCTGGGGTCTCGGGTCTCTAGACTCCGCACTGCCAGTGGTTCTCCCCGGGTAGGGCTTGGGGAGAAACAGCCACAGGCGTTAGGAAGGAAAGCCAGGAAGACAGAAACTAGGCTAGGTGGTGGCTGGTCCGCCTGGTTGGCCAGACAAACGCACTGAAAAATAGGACCTATGTGTATTTATACCTTTGCCAAGTTAGGCACCACGTGACACGAGGTTGCCTAGCGACTAATGGCTGACCTTAACCAGACAGGATGTGTATCTCAGGACTGAGGTAGCTTGTTTGCTTTAGGCCCTGAGGCCCAGTCCTGCCAACACACACTGGATCAGTCTAGCTTGTGCAGCTCCCAACATATCCCCCTTGTTCGTCAGAGATGGGTGTTCCATTGCAGTTAGAGTCTGTATTTGGAGAAGTCTGTAGAGGATGTTTTCATACTTGATACCAGACCAAAGATTTTACGAACCTGAGTTTAGCAGTATAACTCTATATAGTCCAGTAGTCCGTAATAGTAGTGAGTTATCAATACAGTTGGTGTCAGAAGTTGTTGACTTGAGCCTTTACAGCTTAGCATATTAGCATGGCATTACTTTTATACCTCGTGGTTATACTTTTCTGCTGGATGTTTAAGACCAAGTTAAAGCAAGACCTATTAACTAAAAATGTAACTTTTCCTACATGACAAGGTTAGCCAAATCTCCTCAGGATATTCCTTGGATCCACGTGCAGCACCTCTTAGAATTTCTGTCAGCCTCAGCCATCTGGATGAATCATGGCTATTGCTTGACCAATTTGCTGTCTGTGAAAGCCTGAGAGATTTTTTTTTGTCCTTAGGCAAACTATACATCAGTTACTTTCCTCTGTGGCCCCGTAATCTCCTTGATCAGAAAATTCAGACACTGCTGAGTTACAGGATGTCGCAGCAGAGAAACTCTCATGTCCTGGGTCCTCACTGACCTTGAAGGGCTAGGGCCAAATATTGGCTATCCTTTTAGCCCATCTCTGTAATTTTTGGTCCCCAAACTTTAGTTGTTAAACATGCAGAAGAGACGCTTACTGCCATTATTATCCTGTAACAGAGGCAGTAAGCTTAACATTACTATCTCTCTGAATATCAAACACCTTAAACATAAAATGGAACTCTTATTTTCCAACAACCATGGATATTCTAATATTTAAATCCCTATAGGGGCTGGAGAGATGGCTCAGTGGTCTAAAGCACCTACTTGAAACAAGCTTGGCAAAGCACAGGGACCGCGGTTCGATCCCCCAGCACCACATG